GTTAATGTCTGATAAAGCTTTAATCGGCCTTAAGAGAAATCTTTTCGGTCCCTCCTCCCCCTCCCCACCCAACTCAGCTGAGAGATGAAGCCAAGCAAACGGAACAATACCGGAGCGAACTTCCATCAGCTCCTGGAAAGCAGTCGGCGGCCCGCTAGATGATTCCTGCGGACTAACAGGAGCCGGCGTGGGGTGGCAAAGGACGATGACCGGGTCCACCCTCCACCCCGACCCCTGCGGAGCCGCGGGGTAGGACGGCATCGCGTGGGCGTGAGGTTGGAGCCACCTCTCCGGTTCCTTTCCGGCCCAGACTGCAGGCACAGGCCGGCCGCTGGAAGAGCACAGCGCGGGGCAGCCCCGGAGGCTCCGCTCCCACGCCGGTCGCCAGCAGCCCACAGAGGACCCGCCCGCCACCCGCGGCCCACACAGTTCTCCAAAGAAGAAATTCAGATGGCCAACAGACCCATGAAAAGATGCTCCACATCACTAGTCATCAGAGAAATGCAAATTAAAACCACAAAGAGGTATCACCTCACACCAGTAAGGATCGCCACCATCCAAAAGACAAACAGTAACAAATGTTGGCGAGGTTGTGGAGAAAAGGGAACTCTCCTACACTGCTGGTGGGAATGTAAATTAGTTCAACCATTGTGGAGAGCAGTATGGAGGTTCCTCAAAAAACTCAAAATGGAAATACCATTTGACCCAGGAATTCCACTCCTAGGAATTTACCCTAAGAATGCAGCAGCCCAGTTTGAAAAAGACATATGCACCCCTATGTTTATCGCAGCACTGTTTACAATAGCCAAGAAATGGAAGCAACCTAAATGGTCCATCAGTAGATGAATGGAAAAAAGATGTGGTACATTTACACAATGGAATATTATTCACCCATAAGAAGAAAACAAATCCTACCATTTGCAACAACGTGGATGGAGCTAGAGTCTCAGGAATAGAGGAATACAGCTTCTTAAGAAGTTCTTAATTAGTGCAAACAATTCTGTCAGGAAGATGCGCCTGCTTCTTGTTCTCCTTCTCGCTCTGTGGCCCTGGGCAAGTTACCTAATGTAAGTTCCTGTGGAATGGGTATATTCCTAATGGGATTACTATAAGAATTATTAGACTTGACATATCAAAGCCTTGTAAAATTCAGTACAGCCACGACTGAGTCTGTTACTCCACCAGACTCCCTCAAGTTTGTATCTCATACAACAGAAAATAGGCTACAAAAACAAAAACAAAAATACTTTGAAAATCCCTGGACAAAGTTATTGTCTTGGAGAAAAACGTGCTAAATTTCAATGACAGTTACATAGGCAAAATTCTCCAACTTTTTGTTGTTGCAATTTTCTCCTACAGCAACCATCGTAATAAAAATCTTGCATTTTGCAGGTAACATTACTGAATGTCCAAAAGACAGGAACCTCACCCTAAATGATTCTGATAACCAAAAGTGTTCATGGTACTTCTGGGTTTGAGCAGCCAAAAGTGTACCGCCCAGCAGATATGGCTCCCCAAACCCTTCAAATGTTGTAAAAGTAAGTGTGTGGGGAAGCTGGGGGAACTGGTTTACTTCTCCAGATTTTTCAGACAGTAAAGTGGATGTATCCAGAGAGAGAGAAACGCGGTTTTCTGCCCCAGTTACACCACTGCCTCCCACGCGCCCCCCACCGGCGAATAATCATCACTCCCGCCTCGGATCAGGAAGTCTTCGGGCTGTCCCCGGGAGTCGCCGACTCCTCCCCGAGGCCCGACCCGCGGTGGACGAGGCCGGTGAACCCCGCTTAGCCGCCACAGCTGCCTTCCCGCGGCGCTGCGAGGTTCCGCCGCTACCCGCGGCTCCCCAGCACCCTTCGCCGCCAACCCCGAACCCACAGCCCTTTCCGCCCCACGTGGACAAGGAAGACAATCCGCCAGCGTCCTGCCGCTCACGTTGGCCTAGGTCCCACGGAGAGACCTCCGCTGCTCACACAGACATCATGACCACTCGAGACTCCCAGGAACCCCTGCGCCAAAGTCCAAGACCCGGAAGCAACCTCGGGCTCTTCAGACGCACGTCATAGACGGAGGCAGCCACCAATCCGCGGAAGCCAAGGGTTACGTTGGCATGACGACGGCGTGGGGCCGAGCCTAGGCGTTGGAGTGGGCAGCCTTTTGAAACCAGTGCTTCAGAGTGGACTCCAACTGCGGTGTTGTAGCTAGAGGTCTCTTCCGTCGTTTCCTTCCCCGACTCCCTGCTAGACTCTTTCGTGGACAGAAAGCTCCGGGTAGCCGACTCCACATCTCCGGCTACCGACAGAGCGTCCACATCCCCGCNACCAGTGCTTCAGAGTGGACTCCAACTGCGGTGTTGTAGCTAGAGGTCTCTTCCGTCTTTTCCTTCCCCGACTCCCTGCTAGACTCTTTCGTGGACAGAAAGCTCCGGGTAGCCGACTCCACATCTCCGGCTACCGACAGAGCGTCCACATCCCCGCCTAGCGACAGAGAGCGTAGAAAAGGACTGCGCCCAGCTGATCCACCGGCTCCTGCTTCGTTTCTGCTGAGCTAGACCCAGCGAGCCTAGAGAGTTGGGCTGAATAACTAGTATTTTCATTTAATTGAATTTGAAGAAAGAACAAATATATACGGGGGCAACCACGATCTTTATAAAGGTACCATTCCTGCAAAAATATTAGTCTTCAAATCAAAGGTTATATTTCAATTGTTGGTTAAAAGTTGTATTTTTAAAGAAGCCTAAGTTCTAGTGGGAGAGGTGTTCCTGCTTCCACTTTTTTCCTAAAGTCAATATAGCAGTGAGACTGATCTTTAAAAGTTATGAACCAGGTAATGTTGCTTCTCTGCATAAAAATCTACTGATTTTAGAATAAAAAAATCTAATTCCTTAATGTGACCAGAGGCCCCATGGGCTCTTGTTCATCTCTGACTTGACTTCCAATCAATCACTCTCACATACTTCACATACTAAGCCCTAGCTACCGCCAGCTGGGCATTTCTGTTTCACAAACAAGGAAAGATTCCACTGTGCTGTCTTTGCTCTGCTGCCTGTGTCCCACGATAACAGATCACCATCCTTCAGGTCTCAGCTCATATGTCACCTCCATGAGTTTTTCCCTCATATCTACATTTTCACCTCCAACACAAAAATACCATCGCATCACCCTTTATTATTTTTTTCATAGTACTAAACAATCCTGAACTTTACTCTGTTCATTGTTTACTGCCATTTTTCTTGTCTGAGAGGAAGTATAGCAAAGTCATTAAGAGAAAGAGCTCTACAGCCTGAGTCTCATGGTTTGAAATTCCAGCTCTGCCCTCTGCTAGCTCTGTGACCTTAGGCAGGTTCTTTTCCTTTTCTGTGCCTCAGTTTCCTCATGTACAGAATGAAGATAATTCTAGTCTCTACCACACAATGCTGTAAGATTTAAATGAATACTTGTAAAGTGCTTAAAACTCTCTCAGCAAACAATACTTGCTAAATGTTAGCTGTTATTATTATTAATATTATTTTTTTATCATTGTCTATCTTCCTGTATTAGAACATAAGTTCCAGGAAAACAGGAACCTTGTCTCTTGTTCACGTATCATCTGCATATAGAACAGTGCGTGGCACATAATAGGTGCTGAGTAAGTATTTGTGAATGAATGAATAATTGTTGCACTATGAAGTGGAGAAATGAAGTAATAATGACAAGGTGCTGACACCATTACAGAAAATACCCTTGGTTTTTGTTCCAGTGGCCTTTATCACCTCTGAATTAATGACCCTGATTCATTTAACATCTAGCCCACCACCTAATCTTTTGATCACCAACAATGATTAAATAACCACTCCTGTAATTTCATTAATAGCAACATAGAATCAGTCCGCAAAATTTAAAGCTTTGACTTAATGGTCTGAAAGTATTAATAAGAAATAAGAAAATTAAAGTGTTAAAGAGTATTAAGTAAAAAGTTTATGTAACTGATTTTAAAGTGCTAATAAGAAAACTACAAAGCTTTTGGCTTAAATGTTTTGAAAATATTAGAAAAAGAAACTAAAATTAAGTTTACTAAAAACTTAAAATTCGTCCTATCAGCAGCTGCCTTTGGTGGCAAAAATCTTATATAACCTCTCAAGAATTCTCATTTTAAACCCATTAATACAAAAATCTTTTTGAGCCCTTAATTCTCCTGCTAATCCTCTTATACTCTTAATTTTTTATTCCCACTCTGCAATAAATAATACGACTTCCCACATTCCCCGTTGCTCAAGTCCACACCCCTCTTCCACCCATGTTCCCTCCTGACCCTCTTTCCCAGGAGCTGGTGATGCCCTGACTTCTCTGGGGAAAGAGGCTCTTAAACAAGGCCTGCTTATCTCCCCCCAGGCAGATCTACCAGCTGTCCTTGACTCTGCCCGTACCCTCAGTTTCCCACGTGTGGTGACCCCAAACCCTCTCCGTTGTTCTCTGGATCCCAAGTCCTCCAGCTTTCCCAGCACCTGGCGCCCTGCTGTATTTCCTGTCTTTAATTATCTGTGAATCCATCCCCTTCAGGTCATTCTCACCAGCTTTTGGATCTGGTGTAGTATATCTTAGCCTAAAAAAACGCTCCTTCAAAAAGAAAAGGAAGAAAAAAAAATTTAGCCTAAACATGCCTACAATGTAAGCTTCACAAAAGAGAATGAATAAATCATTAGGCAACTGAAAAAAAAATGCTCCTTCATTTTAATATGACAACATTACTATTTTAATCAATGTATAAAGGATGTTTTATATAATAGCTGTGATTGCAAAACTGATTATTCTTATGGCAGGATGTAGGAATTCCAGCTTCAGTGCAGTTGAATTAAACATCCAAAAGAAAAAAAAACTGTAAACATTTAAAAAGGAAATTTAAGAGACTTTTTGTACAACCTAGGGTTTGTAAAGACCTTTCGATCAAGGCAGGACACCTAAGAGCTACAAGAGAAATAACTTAAAATTTTTATCTATATAAAAATTTAATTTTATGGCAGAAGATGCCCCAAATTAAGTCAAAAGATAAATATTCAATTAGCAGGTAAATTCTGTTATGCCTATAACATGTAAAACTTTATTACTGCTAGTACTATTATTAATAGTAGTACACATACCAAATACAGCCCAGTGAAAAAATAGGCAAAGAATATAAAGAAGCCATCCAGAAACAACAATTCCAAATAGACAACAAACATAAAAGACACTCAACTTCCCTATTATGAAAATGAAAGTAAACTAAGAATGAATTTACCACATTACAGCATCAAACTGGCAATAATTCTTTTAATTAATAATATTATTGAATGGGATTGGGAGAAAAGGGGATAGAGTCAGACAGTGGAGAGGCATTGGCTCCCCATTGCCCTTGCAGTAAAAGTCAAAGGACTCATACTAACCTACAAGACTCTCCCCTATCTAGTTGACCTCCTGTGTTGCTTGTGCCTCTCTTGGTGTTGTCTGAACATAGCCCCTGTCTTAGGGCCTTTGCACAGCCAAGAATACTCTTACCTGTCTTGCTCAAGTCTTTGTTCAAATCAGGTCTACCAACCGTGACAGCCTGTTTAACGTTTCAGCCATCTTCTACCTTGGTCCCCACCCTCCTGCATTCCTTATCTCCCTTAACCTGTTCTACTTTTCTTTTCTGTGTAGCACATATCATCCATGATCCTGTATAGCATGATCCTTATTCAACCCTATATAAATTTGTTTTATTATTTCTTTCTCTGTCCCATACAGAATATAAATTCTACAAATGCAAGAATCTTTGTATTGCCCAGTGATGTAAGCCGAGCATGTGAGACAGAGCCTGGCACCAATAGGTACCCACAACGATTTTCAAATGAATGAATGACTGAATGAATGAATGAGTTTTAACAGGAAAAAGTCACATTTTTATGTAAAAAGTTACTGTCTTAATCTCTTTTATATTTTAAAGGGAAAAAATAATTAACATTCTGCTAGTCCGAAATTCAGATTTGCAGTGAAGATATGCTAAGACACAGAAAGATGATTTCTTTTCAGGAAAGAATCTCTAAATGAAAATCATGTGATTATTAGGCTCTATACATACCATCAAAATTCTAATTCAGTCAGCCCCACCCTGAATCCAGTCACAACTCTCATTTAATCCACTTCCCTCCTCTTCTAATTGAATCACTTTCTCCAATGCTAGTAAACCCTTTCATTACAAAGTTACCAGCCCACAAAATGTGACAATTTTGCTTGAGGCTTTTAGTAAGAAAATGGAGGAAAAAACTCAATGCTCACAAGTTAGAAATTACATTTAAAGTAGTATAAATGATAGCATCTGTTCTATTTTTAACCTAAAAATGATTAATTTTCTAATATAAAAAGCTGGTGCTTTAATCTGTTTTGATAAGTGAAAAGGATAGAAAAATAAAGTAGCTTGCCTTCTCCCAACAAATCCTGATTTTAATTGAAGATACTTTGGGACCCAGAGAGGAGATTTCCTGGGAACACCCTCAAAATGAAATTTGCTGATGGTCCAGGCTACATTACTAGATAATATTATAATTTAACCACCTCTTATCCGATCCAAGCACATAGCTACCTATCACTTTCTGGCCACTCCATTATTACTAAGACAATTAAAAGCAAGCATATTAAAAAAAAACAGTTAAAATGAAAGAACTAAAATATAGAAAATAAAGGGATAGAAAAGGACGTACCAGGCAAATATTAAAAAACAACAAAAAACTGTGTAGCAAATTAATTATCAAAAGTATTCTTTGAGTAGCATTAACAAGGACATTTGTGGGGCATCTTTTGCATTCCAAAGAAATGGAAAACATTAAGTCATGAACATGTATGTAACTAATTGCATGGTCTGGAAATTTTGAGACAATAATAAAGAATTAAAAGGTAAAACTGACAAATCTGTAATGATGGGAATTTTTTTAATGGCAATCTCTGCCAGATTAAACAAATTAGCAACATTGATGCATTGTGTGCACAGATACATATGCTTACTGTATTTATATTTGCATATATATTTATATGTCTCATTTATATATGTATATAAAATCCTTCAACTAAAACAAAAGAAATATATATTCTTTTCAAAAAATGTTGGACATTCATACAATTAACTGTAAAGCCCCCAAATAAATTCAATTAATGTCTATGTACTCATTTCTAAATGATATGTAGTCTTTCTAATTTTTGAACTTTATATAAATGTGAAAAATGTTTATATAAATGAATCATGTAAAATGTTCAAAATGTTTATGGAAATGAATTGTATGCTTTTATGTTTTGCTTTCATATAGCTGTTGTATACTTTATAGAATTTAATTGGGTAAAAGTACACAGTATACTGGGCTGTTTATACTCTGCACCCTGATTCCCAACCCCAAGCTACCCCCATGAGGACATCTGGGCCCAACAGCTTGGGAGGAAGAATGATTATTTATTAATTTAAAAAATTATTTCCAGTTTATTCCATAGTTGTTACTTTTTTCAATGATGTCAATTAAAATATTTTAAAATTATTTAGCTTCCTTTTAATATCATGTATTTACCTAAAGTATTATGTTACTGTACCTTTTTTCTTACTCCTACTTTTTCACTTATTCCTACCACATATGCTCTTTTTCCCTCTTGACTAGCTTTGCTTTTGCAGGCGTCTACCTTTTTGGATGTACTTACCATTCAGCTTTTACAAATACTAACCAATTCATTAATTTCTAATATTAATGTCACTTAGTCCTTCCACCAGGTTTTCTTAGATTTATAATATTTGTTCTTTCTAATTCTATAGTAAAGTGCTCAATTAAAAAAATACACAAGATAATTTATTCTAATAATTATGTTTCCAGTATGGTGATATTAGAAATAATGCCACGATGTACATTTTTGTAAATGTGTAGAGGTGCGTGGGTATACATTTCATTTATATACCCCATCAGCAGGTTGAGTTTTCCTTGTCTTATAATCTCACCACACTTGATATTGTCCAACTTTTCAATTCTAGGTAATCTGGTGGGTTTATAGTGATATCTTATGGAGCTCTTAATTTGCTTTTCCTTCATTGCTAATCACTTCATTTATGTTTATTGTTCACTTGAGTTTCTTCTTTTGTGGGATATCTGTTTAAGTCTACTGAATTATCTTCTTTTTATATTGATTTCTGTGAGTTCTTAATACATTGGGCACCAGTTCTCTGTCACTTATTTGAGCTACATATATGTTTTCCACTTCTTGGCTTTTCTTTTTGGTATATTTTGATGTACAAAACCATTGATATTAGGGTAATACAGTTTATCAGTCTTTTCCTTTTTGCTTAGTGCATGGTATTTCTAAAGAAATTCTTCCCTACTTTGAGGTTACATTGGTATTGTCAGATACTATCTTCTGAAGGGTTTATAGTCATGCCTTTCACAGACGCATCAGAAATTTGTTCTATGGGTAGTGTGATAGAGGTTCTTGGAATAATCCTGTGAAGCAAGCCTGGCCTTGTCCATCTCTTCTGCGTGCTGGGCTCTTCTTGGCCCTTAGCACTTAAATATAAAATCTTAAATGTAATGTTTTACAAAATTACTTATGGGATAACTGAATCTCAAGATGAGATTGACAGTTCTACAATATTGAGTCTAAATCTATTAACAGGTTATGTCTTTCCATTTATTTAGGTCTTCTTTAATTGCTTCTAAGTAAATTTATATTATTGTTTCCATAGAAATCTTGTAAATTTTTGTTAGCTTTAGCCTAATGTGCTGCTCAATTTTTAATACTTTAATAAGTGGTCTCTTTCTTAATTTGATTGTCCAATTGTTTGTTGCTGGTATATGTAAGTAAAATTGCTTTTTATATATTGTACTTTAAATGCAGAGACCTTGCTAAACCCTCTTATTAATTAAAATAGTGAACTCATAACTCTTTGGGATTTTTTATGTAGATAGTCATATCTATGAATAAGGATAGCTTTGTCTCTCCTTCCCAGTCTTTTTCCCACTTCTTTTTTCCCCTTCCTGCCTTATGTCAGGTTGGACATCCAGTGAGATCATAGGCTTCCTTGTCTTCTTCCTGATCTTAATGGGAAAGCTTTCAAATTTTCATTGTTAAGTACGATTTTTACTGAAGGTTTTGGGTCAGTGCATTTTATTCAGTTAAGATTTCCCCCCACAAATTTTAGTTTGCTAAATGGATAACGAATTTTATCAAACACTTGTCGGCATCTTTTAGTCTGTTTGTGTGTATTATTATGTTAATTTATTTAACTCTCAACCTTTCCCAAAATAAACCCATCTTGATCATGATGAATATATGGCAGGAATCTGTTTACTCAGATCCTATTTAGGACTTTTCACCTATGTTCCCAAGTGAGATTGGCCCATTATTTTCCTTTCTCATACTGTCTTTATTTGAGACTTCTTTAATAAAGTTTATATTATAGAACATGTTGGAAAATACTTTCTCTTCTATTGGAAAATTTGTCTAAGCTTGGAAGTACTTATTCCTTGAATATTTGGTAAAATTTTCTGGGCCTAGGTTTTCTTTGTTTAAAGAGTTTTGACTAGCACTTTAGTTTCCTTGATGGTTATAGTCAGTGTTCTATTTTTTTCTTTTGTCAATTTTGCTGTTTTTTTTTCTAAGAATTTACTTATTTCACCTGAATTTTAAAATATATTGGCTTGAACTTGTCACACTATACTTACTAAATTTTTGTTTACATGTGAAGCATCTGTAGTGATGACTGCTTTATTTTTTCTGGTATTAGTGTGACTTTGATCTCTGGTCTTTCCCATTTTCACCAGAAGTTTGTCAATTTTGACTTTTCAAAAAGCCACCTTTTACTTTTATTCCTCTATTTCATCAATCCTGGTATTCTTTCAATTATTTTCTTTCTTCTTCTTTCTTTGCTGTATTCTTTTTCTAACTTCCAGAGAAGTTAGATGCTAAGCTCATTTAAATTTCCAGCCTCCTATCTTTTCTTAGATATTTATTTAAGCCTATAAATCTCCCTTTTACTATTGCTTACCAACATCTCACAGGTTTCAGAACATAGAATATTCACTGTCATTTAAAGTATTTCCTAATTTCCATTTTTAATTCTTTCTAGTTAAAGTTTTATTTAGAATGCATTTTTAATTTTATAAAATTGCAGATTTTTCTAGTTATCTTTTTAAAAGTAATTTATAACTTTTATGCTTTCTATCTTCTTACATTTGTTAAAACTTGTTTTATGGCCACAGTTTTATAGTCAATTTTGTGAAATTTACGAAGTACTTGAAAAAAATTTGATACTGCAGTTTGGGAGTGCAGAAGTTCAATATATGCCCATTAGGCCAGTTTTTAGATTGCATTGCTCAAATATTCTATATTGTTTTTCAACTACTTGATTAGTTAGTAGAGTCCTGATTGATGTTTGATTTCCCTTGGTCCCTGTTAGTCTCAAAAGTGTGTCTTAAGGTGATAAATGATAGGATGTAACTTAATGTTAAAGTTTAGAGCCACTCTTGTTAAAGTCTGAAATGAGGGTATAATTTCTACTAAGTCAACATTCAACATTTCACTGGAGATTGTATCTAATTATATAAGACTGCTGTTCCTGCTCAGCTACCAAAAGAAAGAAAAAGAATAAGAGCTATGACTATTGGAAAAGAAGAGGTAATAATTTTTGTATTTTTTTCAGAAAATATCATCTATATGAAAAACTTTAGAATCATGGTCAAGCTAGCAAACTAATAGGAAATAAGTATAAGGTTTGGAAAGAGATATAAGATCAATAAATAATAAAAATTAATAGAAAAAGTGTCCATTTACAAAACACTCAAAAATCATAAAATTCCTAAGAATATATCTAAAGAAACATACATTATCGTTATGGGTAAAATTCTGAAACTTTATAAACACATATAAGATCTGAATAAATGGAGGAATATACCAATTAATTGATGGGAATGCCCAATATGGGAGCTATGTCCACCACCAAATTTATTTTAACTTCATGCAATTTCAGTTCAGATCAACAGGATTTTTATGGAATTTGACAAATTTATTCTAAAATGAATACTGACGTTTAGCTCTGCTAATTTTAAAGATGAAGAAAGACATGGGGACATGCCTTACCAAGTATCAATACTAAGTGTAAAGCTACTTAATTAAATTAAAACTACAGTTTTGGCACAGAAATGGGCAAATTATTGGATTTAAATGGAGAGTCTAGAAAGAGATCCATGCTTCTATTTGACTTGGCATATACGAGTGGAGTATTCCAACTCGGTGGGGAAAATGGTGGTAGACAATTAGATTTCTACCAAAAATCCTAACAATAACCATACAGATCCCTACCTCTCAACAAGAACACAATTCTAAATGGGTGAAACAAAGATGAAAAACAAAGAAAACAATGAAAATGAATCTTTGTGACTTCATGGAAGAGTGGATTACTTAAAGAGGATGGGAACAAATCACAATGGAAAAGATGAATAAATTATTATGCTTAATTTTTCAAAATAATTAAGATCCATAAATCCAAGTGAAGATGGTGGCATGGGATGATATATTTGCTACAACACAATAGATAGAGAATTAGTATCCCAAATATTTAGAAAATCTTACAAAGCAAGAAAAAAAAAACAATTTAACTGGAAAAATGAAGTGTATAACCAGAATTTACAAAACTAAAACCCACAAAAGTCCATTAAATCTTTGAAAATGCACATCACCAAGAAACAGGCAACACATTAATATAAGAGGAGATAAATTATTTTGATAATCAAATCACCAACAACTAAAAATTTGACATCAAGTACATCTGGGGATGTCCAGAAAGAAACTCTCCTCTGCTAGTGAGTGTGTTAATTAGGACAATCAGTATGTAAAGCAACTTAACATTGCATAACAATATACAAAATGTAATTTGTATTATTTCTACACTACCTAAAAATACGGTGGTATAATTTCTATACCATATAAAAATAATGCTTACGAAGATCTACCCTATGTAAATTATCACATATAATTACAAGGACACATATAAAAGGTTTTTAAAGCAGCATTGCTTATAGCAAAACACTGGGACTAATCCAAATACTCCTCAATACAGAAATACATCAATAAAATATATTCTTATGACAGACTACATATGTAGGTATATGTAGGTATATATAAATATACAGTGTTGAATTTAAAATTGCAGAACTGTTAGCATATTTGGTATAAAATCATTTATATAAAATAAAAATAGATGCACAAAACAATACTCTGGATTAGTATATAATGCACATGCACACACATAAACAACCACAGAAAATGCACTACATCCATGATGCTAGGGAGGAGAAAGAAATTAGGATTTGGGTTTGAATCTGAAAGGGACTTCTTCACTGGCAGTATTTATTTCTTCTATTTAAAAGTAATTGCTGCAGGGACAAGACCCTTCAGGATGTCTGTTCTCACTAGTTCTATTAAGCATTCCACTGGAGCTTCTAGTCAGGGCTGTTAGGCAACAAAAAGAAATAAAAGGCATCCATATTAGGAAGGATAAAACTATATTTATACATGAAATCATTTTATGTAGAGAAAATCTTAAGGAACCATGAACAATACTGGACCTAATAAAAAAAGTTCAGTAAGGTTGCAGGATAG